GGTCAAAGGTCATTGACTCTGGTCTAAAATACTAAAAAATGTATCTCTGGAACACTCTATGGTATATGGTTGATCTTGGTGTCAAAATGCACAGAATAATGCAAAACTAAGAAAATAATATAAAAGGACCCTCATAACCAATGCATCACCTCAAAAAATGAGGTCAAAGGTCAAAATGTTAGGAATTGATATTACGAAAATGACATTCACTATATGATTTTTTTTTTGCTCATCATTTTCAAAGCTGGTTTTAAACAGTTGAACATAGAGTATTAGATAAGTATATTAATTGAATTTAAATTTACAAGTTTCAAGTCGACTGAATCCACAATCCGAAAAGCTGGAATAAAAGCAATGCTGATAACATATGGGTGTGGGGATAATCCTCTTGAAAGGGTTCGTTATCTGAAGCTTCAGAAGCAAGTAGCTAGTGGCAAAATTGATCCAGATCGATTACCTCCAACAGAAAATGCAATAGCACAGCATTTATCAGGTTATAGTTTGGAAACATCTAAACACCTCCATTCTTGAACCCATTGGAAGGGGATGGGAGATTGATTCCAATAGGAAACTATACCGAGGATGCTTACCTGTGGTGTTGCTCCAGACAGACTTCTAAAAGGAATTTGCTGCAACTGCCAGGAAGAGGAGAGGCAATGCCAAACCATGAGGTGTAGCTGCATTAAAACTGGGATATCATGTGTTTCTGCTTGTGGGGTTTGCTGTGGGCATTGTTCAAATGGAGTGCTGTCAGACGAAGTTAGTGATGAAGTGGAATCAGGAGAGGAAGCCGACTAATTTAGATACTTATTTGTTATTTGTCATCAGTCAAAAAGACAGGAAAATACCTCAAAAATTTACATAAAATTATGAATAGTTTATTTAAAATGATCAAACAAAATTATTAGCTTCAAATATATGTATTTTTATATTTCTCTAAAGTAAATAAATTAAATTAATTAATCCTTTATCCTGATGGATCATGGAGCTCCTATATGTGCCCCAGGGGTGCTGTGGGTTTGATGTCACGGACAGCGGTCTCTGCCTGATCGTGGAAGGCATTGTTGCTCCTGGTGATTGCTGATTCTCATTCATGCATATGCCCCTTTTGTTTTGGGTACGGGAGCTACATGATCCATGATCTCTTTTGTCTTTTTTAAAATTCAATTAATATACCATGTTATTCTTGTTAAGTGTTTATTTAAGTTTTGTCAATTAATGCTGGGATGCCCTCGAAAGTGATTAAATTTTACTGTTCTTTATTATTTGTTGTAAATGTTTAACTGAATAAATAAATAAATTAATTAATAAATTAATAAATCTATAGTTACAGTAAGTTTCAAGCTGTAATTTCTATTTCTATTCACAATATACTTATCTAATACTCTATGTTCAACTGTTTAAAACCAGCTTTGAAAATTATGAGTAAAAAAAAATCATATACTGAATGCCATTTTTGTAATATCAATTCTTAACATTTTGACCTTTGACCTCATTTTTTGAGGTGATGCATTGGTTATGAGGGTCCTTTTATATTATTTTCTTAGTTTTTGCATTATTCTGTGCTTTTTGACACCAAAATCAACCATATACAATATACCCCTTTCAGACAGACCTGCAAAACAGTATTAATACCGTATTTCTCGAACGCCGGCGTTCTACGTGAAGGGGTAAATATGCCTAAACGGCGGCTTCAGTTAGACCTCCTCGGGACCTAGTCTTAATACCGCATTAATACCGTAGCGAGTTTTGCCCAACTCGATGTGAGGGGGTTCTGGGTTCATCGCACTGAGGCATAACAAATCAGACGAGCAGCCATCAACCTCTGCTGTAGCTAACAAAGCCGATAAAATCGCAAGCTGACGATTCTTTAGATGCGAAAATCGCCTGCGCCTAGCTGCTCAAAATTCAAGCCAGCCTCGCCTTAAACGCTTCCTAAATTCTTTCTTCACTTGAACGAAATGCATTAGAAACCTTCTGTTTCTCAATTTATATGTATTGCAAACATAGCAAGCATTAAAAAACATTTGCAAAGCAGCAGTTTTATGATTTCATCTCCGGCCATATTGAATTATTGGAGTAAACAAAAACTTGCGCCCTCTTTGTTAACATGCACAAGCACCACAGACATCAATTACTCCTTTCCGCGAGAACTCTTTCAGACAGGATACAGTATTACTACCGGATTTTAACTAGTTGTGTGAAAGGGTCTGCGCCGGCAATAACAGCGGCGTAATTAGGGTATTTTGCGGTATTTTCTGTCTGAAACGGGCTATAGAGTGTTCCCAAGATACATATTTTAGCGTTTTAGGTTGGGTAAATGACCTTTAACCCCAAAAACGTATACTCCCCACTCTCCTATACCCCTAACTTTGTTTTGGTGTTATCCTAGTATGTATTCCTACACAAGTCAGTTGAAATCACATTCATTGTAAGATTTTAAAATGATATATGCCAATTAAGTGACTAAAAATACAATTTTTGACATTTTAACCTTTGAAAAAAAGAAATGATTATGAAGGCTTGCAATATTTTTTTTAAAAATAATTCTGTGCATTTTGACACCAAGATCAACCATATACTATAGAGTGTTCGGGAGATGCATTTTTTAATATTTTAGACTGGGGTTAATGACTTTTGACCCCTCAAAATTTTCCCCATCCCCTAGCCCACTTAAATTTTTTTCAGTTGAAATCCGCTTCTTTCTAATTTTTTCGCAGATTAAGTCTAATTTTGGGATACTAAAAGTGGAAAAGAAATTTGAGTAACCTGCCTTCAGCAATACGCAAATGATGATGATTTTGACTATACAATATTTTACAGGGCAGAATTGTAGTTATTATGTGTTATTTTAGGAAACTCATTCAACAGTTTGAAAACCATGTTTTAAGGTGATCAATAGGACATTCAGGAATTAAGTAAACAGATGAGTGCAATACAGTTTAAATGTTTTCAATCTAAAGGAAAAAGAAATTTTGGTAATTAAATAGTTTTTAAATGTACTCAATGAGAGTTCCAAGTTGGAAATGAAACAGAAACTTTTTACCAATCACAGACATCAAATATTTAGGTTACTGACTTGTTGCTGATCATATATACCAATGAAGCAATTAAAATAATAACTTACTCTGCGTGATTGATCCAGCAGATCAATGTACTTTTGAATTGCATCCTCTTTCTGTTGAATGCGAGCTTGCAGCGACTCTATCTGGGCCTGGGCTACTTTCAAGGCTTGCTTGTGTTGGCAGGCTTCCTCAATATGCTGGTAGCGCACACCTTCTGCCATTTGGTTTTTGATGATCTCATCCCTCTCTGCCGATGCAGGCAAACGAAGACGCAGTTCATTGATCACTTTGTCTCGCGCAAGAAGATTCTCTTCAGTTCTTGCCAGCTGCTTCTCAATGCTGTTGAGATTCTGTGATAAGATCAGATGGAGAATTTAATAATTTATTTACAGTGCAATGAGTGAATGGAAGGAATTGGTGGAAGTGGAATATAGGATAGCAAATAGAAAGTGGAAAAAATAAATAAGAATGGCCAAGATCAATGTCAGTTAAACTTTATGCACCTGGATAACAAGCAGTGTCTCTTTATTCACAGTGGTTGCAGCCTGTTTCAACTTATGTACAATGATTCTCAATTATTACTACCTGTAATAATACCTTGGGATACGGCAATGTATATAAAATCACTAAAATAACAGTTACTATTAACATTTATTCCAATGTAGTATATATAGATTTGCCAATTTATTCATTTTAGTAGTTGTTTTATGGACATTGTGCAAACTTCACCAACCCTGGGGAAATACTCCAACCACTCCGCAAAGATCTGCATACAGGCCACTTCACTATCCTAATAGGTACCCATTTCACTCCTAAGTAGTGAAGAAAACCAATGCAGAGATGAAAGAGTGGCTAACCTCAGTGTAACCAACTTTTCACAGGCTTACACATTTATCATTATAGCTTACCTTTTGAAGTTGTGTATTTTCAGCACGGGTGTCCAAGATAGTTTTGACATGCTGTTTGATTGTCCTCATAGCATGCTCAAGCTGGTTGGCAACAGGTAAGCTAGGGTCCGGCATTGACCCTGTTGCTTCCTCAAACTACAGGTAAAAGAACAGATGTACACAATAAATTATTTTTATACATCTTGCTCAACTTACATTTTTTGTCTCTATTTAAAAACATGCCTGGTTTTGCCATCAAATGATGATATGGCAGAATAACCTAGTGGCAAATTGTAGGCTAAAATGAAAGGATATGTCGTCTAAAACTTCTTCTTGAAAAGAAATCCAAAATTCCAAGGTAAAATAACAATTCAAGAATTCTTCTTGCAAAAGGTTCAAAGAACACAATTTGAGACACATGGTCTTAACAATATAGCACAAAGGAGCTCCTTCAATGAAAAACGTCAAATAATATTGTTAGGGAGACGGTTCGTATGTGGCGCCCTGGGGCAGACTGTTCTATTTTTTCCAAAGGGATGTTTCATTTTGGGAACAATGGCAATTAGTCAGGTTATCCAGGTAAGTATTCACGAAATCGACTAACCTAGTGGCGAATTGTAGGATTATAATACAATGTTTACTGAATATAATGGGTTGTTCTTAGTTTTATATATTTTATTACTGCATTTTACAGATAACAAATCTCATCAGACTCAGGAGGTTGCAGGGAAGCAGGGACATCACAACAAATATACCACTCACACAAATAAAATGTGATGATAAGAGAGGGTGTGGGCCTAGCACACAGCAGTGATAACCACAACACATATTTTTCGACCTAAAAACAAAAAGGGACATTTGCTATTGCTACAGTACTTTTCTCGCATATGGTGAGGCCAAGAATTGGAATACATGACAAGGAAGATTATTCCTTTGTACTAGTGTCAACTTACTCTAAGAGCAGCATTTGCCATTGCTTTCTGTTGCTTCTCCAGACTATCAATGATTCTTTCCAGCTCAACTTCTCTTTGTTCCCAAAGCAGCTGCTTCTCTTCAGATTCCCTCTGAATCTGGACAATGTCTTCTTCAAGACCGGCAACAGTTCGCTCATGGTTTGATGTAAGTCCTTCATTGTACTTCAACTGTATCAAATTACAAAACATGATTATTTAACAAACATCACAATACATAAATCTATAAATATCCAAAGTTTTAATTCAAAAAAAGTCATTTAGCAAAATAGTTTTTCAGATTATTAGAAACAATATTCATTATTGCTTTTCTTATAAAATAACAAATTTTGATGATGAATTGAAGGATATTAATGTACAGGTCAAATTACACCAATTTCCAAAGGACAGAAAACACGGAATACTGACCTGTTCTCTCAGTCGATTAATTTGCCGTGTATGCTTAAGGTCCTGCAGTCTCATCTGCTGAATCTTAGAGTGCCATTCTGCCACCTTGCTAGCACCTTTGCCATCCATCAGAGTTGCCATCAGTTCTTGCAACCCTTTGTTGCCAACCTCTAACTCTGCAACCTTCTCCTCCACTTTCTCTTTCTCATATGCAACCTATTAAAAATAACAATGGTATTTGTTCTTATATATACAGTAAAACCCCTCATTTACAAACCCCGATTTTACGAATTCCCGATTTTACAAACGTAAAATCATGTCCTTGTTGTCATAAATAAAGTTCCTATTTCATGTACAAAACACACACGCGTGTCAAGAATTAATCATTAGGCGCGTGCTGGAGTTTATTCACTCGGTCTTAGACGGTTTGCTGTACACTATATTACTATTATTATATTATTATTATTATATTATATTATTATTACATATATATATATAAGGGGTGTTCCGTTTTGGGAACAATGGCAATTAGTCGGTTATCCAGGTAAGTATTCACGAAATAGACCAGCGATCTCTACTACAATATAAAACGCAAATAGTGCGCTTTGAATACACCGACATTCAACACGGCGATCATACCTAAGTCTGCAACCGTGAGAAAACTCCGCCCAATGCGCAAGTTGTCGGCATATCAATAAGCGCATGATTTATTCATCTCTGAATACACCACCCTCATATCGTTAAATTTAATGAACCCCCTAATTATAAATAGATTTTATTTATCAAATCTAACTAACGTTAATCTAACATTTATTCTTTATTATTTATTCTTTATTCTCAACCAACAGTGTAAAACACCAATAATAGGTTGAAATAAAATTTTCAGTAAACAGAGCATAAATATATACGATACAAATTAAAAAACGAGTTCATTAATAATACTTTTATATTGCGAGTAATTACAGTTAAAAATAAGCCAAAAATTATTCTTTAAAAGACAAGCGTTATAAGCTGACGAAATTCTACGGAAAATACCATTTTTACAAACATTTACACAAGAATATTTAACATGAAGAAAAGGTTTATAACGAATAAGACACTGACACCCACATTGTCTTTATAACTTTATCTTTGCATTACATAAATGTTAATGTAGGCGTAGAACAATCGTATTGCATACGAAAAAAAAAAGTCCAAGCGCCGTGTCTACAGCCAATCAGCGCTCTTCTTTTAAAAAGTTGTGAACCCCAGTCACCCTGGTTTCCGGGTTATTCTGTACAGGTTTTTACTTGACGCCACAAGCACATGGATCGAGTGAAAAACATTGTGGCGCCCGCGGGGCTGTGTTTCTTCATAAGCTAGAAGATAAGTCATATATTATTGCCTGAGAAAGAGAGAATAAAGTTTGTATACACATCAACAAGTACAGTATGCATAGTACTGTACATTATTATGATCTTTATTTTGAATTTCTTTCGAGCGCAAGTTGGAGTTTTGGCTCCAATCCAACAAAATTTCAGTCCAGGCCTAGCCTAGCCTAGCCCAGCCTAGCATATCAGTAGTGTAAATACATAGAAATTTCACACAACCCTGATTTTACGTACGAATGATTTTTACGAACGCCTCTGGGCCTGTCCCGTACGTAAATGAGGGGTTCTACTGTATTTCATATTTTTAAATTAATGATTTTAATTAATAAATAATTTTTAAACATTTAATGCTCTTTCACGAAGCTCCTTTATGCAACTAAATAACAATTACTTGCATAATGATTGGGTCATTAGCGACACCACCGCTGCCTCATACATCCTGCATGCATTCATGGTGTTGTTGTCCTCCTATGCAGATGCTCCAAGATGCTTGAAAATAATATGAATATCAATAAGCTACTTTACCATTTTCAGTTCTTGGTCCATACGTTCTTTATCTTGTCTCATCTGAATCATTGCTTTGGAGAATTTATCCTGCTCGCTGAGAGGAATAGCACCACTAAACTGACGACGGAGCTCCTGAAATCCAACGATATATTTTAAAAAGTTTAGAAAATGAGACAAAGTTCAGGGTTGTCTGAGTGCTTAGTAAACAAGTCTTAAGCTCTGTCTACACTATCCAATTTTATGTCCAAAATAATGTGATATGCCCATATTTGGGTGTAGTATGACATCATATATGGGTACACCACACAAAATTTGATAGTAAGGACAAAGCTTTATATATATATATAGAGCTTTTGTGCTGAATCACGACCAATCACTGGAATGGAAAATTCAGGATTTTTATAACATATAAAATGCATTAGTACAGCATTCCACAACTTTTAGGCTGATTAACCAGTTCGGAAATTCAGACATGAATCACAACCCACTAACTCTACACATGTCTAATTCAGAGAGCTAGGCCTAGTGCCCCATTTAGGGAATGGAATTTTAAATTTAGATTAAAATAAGTAAATAGCGCATTGGCAAAAATAAATATTACGACAAAATTATGATCAACGATGACTGTAGCCGCATTGTACAGTACTTTGTTGTATCAAATGAATAAGGTATGCACATTGATATCAACATTAATACTTTACATATATATAATTAATAATATATAATTATAAACGACAGAAGTGAGCTAGCAGATTTTGCTGATTGCTGCTGTCAAGGGTTTCGCAACCCACCGAATTATTTTGGTGACTCACTGGTGGGTCACAAACCACATTTTGCCGAACGTTGCATTAGTATACTAAGTCTTCAAGTGGGTAGGAGTAAACTATTAGCAGAGTTGAGATGGTAAAACAGAACACAGCATACAGAGACATACACATGCACATGTGTTACCTACTTGAATTGTCCTTTTTAAGTGCTTTGATTTGTTTCTAGCATCCACCTTTGTGTGGTACAGTGACTGCTCCATCTCGTCTAACTGCTGTTCGCGGGTCAGTAGATGGGCTTCTAGTTTTCTAATCTTGGAGATAGCAGCTTCCAGTTTACGTACAGCAGTACCCTCACTCACCTGCAGCGCTACAATATGATGATGTAGCTTACCTGTTAAAAATTTTAAAAAAAAATAGAATTCATTTTAATATTAATAGTGTTTATATAATTAATGTCATAAATTGTAACATTGTCAATCATTAAAACAACTATGACTATCAGCATGATACCATTACCATCAGCATTATTCTTGTTAGTACCACTTTAAAGCATATTAAATCACATACAGTACTATATAATTAATGCTACCTTTATGGCTTAGACATCATAAACCAATATGACAATGACTATGAATACGAATATGACATCATCATCATTATTATCAAAATTATTCTTATTATTATTCTTATTATCGCTTAGAAGCATATTATATATTATATACCAACTACATAGATTCCAAGCATTTCATTGGTTAAGAGCCGGGCAATAGTTCCTGCCATGCCCTCCTAGCTGGGCAAAAGTCTTTTTGTTTTGCCACCTCACAATTCACTTGTACAGTATGTCGTGATGTAGAAAATTATGCTAAGCCTATTAATATTGTGGGCTACTAATTTAATCAAATTTGACCTAACCTGATGACCTGGAAGCTAATGATTGATTTGCTGCACACTGAGTATTCCTAGGCTAGGAATATCAATGGCAGAATGTTCCAGATTTAAACTGGTTGATGACCTGGAAGCTAATGATTGATTTGCTGCACACTGAGTATTCTTAGGCTAGGAATATCAATGGCAGAATGTTCCAGATTTAAACTGGTTGATGAACATGAAAAGTGTTAGCGAGTTCAGCAGCCAGGGATAATATGAAAAAGTTCTAGGCCTACGCCTCTTCAAGACTCAAGAAATCTATGTAGTGGTAAATAAAACAAATATTTACTGGGATTTTAATTGGGTCATAGTTCAAATTACATTTGAGCTATGCACCTCAACCCAGCAAATATTGTATCCTGTACTACACTGTACATTTTAAATAATAGACTGCAAGGACTTTGTTTTAATGTGTATTTAGTTTAGTAACTGCATTGAAAGGTTTCAATATTGATATATTCTAATTATGTGTTCTGTCTGTAGCAATGTACCAAATAAAAAATCTCTTTTGTGTATGAATTACACAATAGAATTATGCTATCTAACATACTTGCAATGATCTTACCAATTATAGCCTTTTCATCACTCTGCGTTTGAATATCTAATAACTGTTGGCGCAGTGACATTACTTCCTTTTCACGTGATATTTGTTGCGCTTCAAGTGCCTTAGACTGGAATGATGCTACTTCTGCCATTTCCTTTAATAATAATAATAATAATAATAATAATAATAATAATTTTAATATTTATCAAGCCCTCAAATACAATAATACAATACAATATAATAATAATATATTACAGAAATTCATTTATCCTTACCTAAGAATGCAAGGCACAGAAAAAATTATAAAACATTATTAACATATTAAACAAGAAAATATACATCATAATGACCAATTTAAGCTATTGTACTATACTAAACAATTAGTATAATTGTTTTCCATACAATAGTGAAAAAAATATATATAAAGATGTGATTATTGCAAAAAAAAAAAGCAATTTTCAGATAAGTGTATAAAGCAATACACTGTATTTTTATATTACTTACCTTAAGTTTTGAATTGTCTATTTTCAGTTTCAACTGTGATTTCTCAAGTTCTGCAATACGTTTCTTGTCAATATCACTAATGGCTTTAGTTACTGCATTTGCTAGTTCATCTCGTAACTCCCGTTCAATTCGCTGGGATTCCAGGTTCATCTTTGTAAGCTGTGAATAAAAGCAATAATAATAAAAATTCTGAGATGATTGAATACATAAACAAGCATATCAACTTCAACTTCATAACTTCAATAAAAAATACTTATAATACTAAATATATTTGACTAAAAAAAATTCTAAAGTAAAAGTTCTAAAGTGATCAACAAAATTTGCTTAGCACCATATTTTTGTTGGAATAATTATTATGATTAGCCTTTCAATCAATGGTCAAGCTCACATTCATCAATTTTTCTGTTAAAAAGCAATATCCTGATTTAATAGTATAAGTTCATTACTGATTACCTCAGCAAACTTTTGCTCCAATTCTAAGTTTCTGTTCTCAAGCTCGTTCACAGTCTTTCTCAACTGGTCTTGCATCCGTGAAGCATGCTCAGCCCTCTGACGTTCGTTGAGCTCTTTCATTTCCAGCATGGTCATCTTCTTGGATATCGACAAGTAGTGGGAGTCATTTGCACCTTGACTGCGCTTCACTATATCATTAAACAGTGGTGAAAAAAATCCTTATTTTAAAGATATGTATATCATTATTTTTTTGTTTTTTGTTGTTTGTTTTTGAACATATTTGATCTTTTTTTAATATTTTTTTTATTTTATTCATTCTGGCCAATACAAATAAACATAAAAACATTACAAAAATAAAATATCAGCAATTCACAAATATATAATAAAGGTGAGCCAGAGAGCAGCAAAAAAGCAAAACCTCTGTCATCTTAGAAATGTGCAGCTCCCAGAAACAAATATTAAATGAATAATAAGACAAAAAAAAAAACAACAACAAAAAAAATCAATTTAAATAATGTTTTAACTTAGATTTGAACAAATGAAAATTAATAGATATATAAAATAATATCTAATATATTTCTTTCTAAGTAAGAACACTCATTATTTACAGGGCAAAAACAGTGGTCTAAAAACATTTTTAATGTGGCTTAGAATGTGAAATAGTTGTGATAAAAAAAATGATACCCCACAGTATTTTAACTCAAGAAAAATAAAAAACAAGGCTGATCATTGCTAGATTATACAAAACTAACATCATTATTATGAATCAGTGTTATTTTGCTTTACCTCCTATCTTTCCAAGTTCTTCCATGGCTTGTTCTAAGGTATGCAGTTTCTCCTTTTCTTGGGAGAGCTCCTGTTTCACCTCCTCACATTCTTTCTGCATCCTTTCATTTTCCATCTTCAAAAAAAAAAAAAAATTATTTAAAATGTTTATGTGAAAGTCAGCTATTTACTGGTTTCATAGAATCACTAGACAGTAGCTATAGCGTTTTCACTGCAATCCTTCAACTGCGTAGCTGTCCCTGACGCAATCAGGAAAGCTCCCTGATTCAACTGACCAATCAGTTTCGCCAAAGGAGTCGGCCTAGCATGTAGCGATTTTTACGGAAACCAGGCTTAATTTGCATTGTTCATTATTTGTCGAAAAGTTTGAATAACCTATAGAGACTGACCTCAAGATGGTCAATGTGGGCATTTCTAGTGACCAGTTTATTGTCCGTCTCAATCACATCTCTGTATTTGATGGTGAGGTCATTGAACTTCCGCATTAGCTGATTGAGTTCATCAGCCGGTACGCTGTCATCAAGAGCCCGTTGTAAAGCTGCGATCTTGAATTGTGAAGATTCCTATTGAAAAAGTATACATTCATATAAAATACACAAATCAGAAGTGATGTTTTTTTGGTAACTAGAAACTCTTCTAGCACTCTATTCAACAATTGTGTGTTCGTCGTTCGTTGACCGACGACAAAGGATTGAGGACGGCACTTGGGCATGGGCGCAGTCACATGCTGGGACAAGCGGCTGGATCTATTTTTGACGTGGGGTGTTCTTTAAGGAACAATGACAATTAGTCGGTTTATCCAGGTATTCACGAAATAATAATCAACATCACACATTCTGTTTTAAAAACCTGTCCAGACTATCAAATTTCATATGACAAAAACATGTGACATGCCTAAATATGGTCATGATGACATCACATCATGACCATATATAGACACATCATGACTATATATGGGCATACAACAAATTGTTGTCAAAGAAAATTTGATAATCTGGAGCTTTAGATTGTATAACTGCACTATTAATTTAAACAAAATGATAATAATAAAAAAAATAATTTCTACCACAAACCTTGTGCCTCTGAAGATAGCCCAGTCTTTCAGTTACAGCTGTCTCCATCTGTACCATTTCATTATGCGTTCGATTACTTTCCTACAATGAATCATAGAGGAATGATTATGAAAGCTATTTATATTACACTCATTTTTAATATGAAAATTACAAAATAAATACAATGTCACTATTTAGGGTGATATTTACAAGGATTGAACCAAAACAGACTAGATTCAGAATGCAGTGCTACTGTGCCATAATGGACCAACCAGAACAAGGTCAGGAATATGCGCGTCTCACAAACCACATGTTTGTGTATGTTTTAAAGTTGTTTTATGAGACCTTAGAAACAATAAAAAAAAGGGCAGGGCAGGGAAGGTCTGTTGGATACACATGTTGGATGACAATTCAATCAATATTCAGTTACATTGGATTACAACAAAATAAAACATGGGTGAATGAGTGTAACTGGCGATTTTCAATTACTTTTGAAGACAAGGGGCGGATTACTATAAGCTGTCTTTAGACGGTCTTAACGGTTGGCCGGCTATGATCGTGACGTCACTACTAGTCTATGATTAAAGACCATTGCTATACCGCTGTCTAACCAGTTAGTCGTCCTAAATTTTAAAGCCTAATCATTTTCAGCATGGCGTTCTGCTGATTACTTCAACAGTGCAATTTCAAGACCTAATCCTAGATCGTCAACGTCGGAGAATCAAACGACGAATACTCCGCACACTTCTCAGCATTTGTAAAAATAGGTCTCCGGCATTTATTTACGTTCATTTCGATACATTTGCGTGTGTCGAGCATGCATGACGTTGCCCTCAATCTTGTGTTACCAGGGAGTGCTTGTTTGCATTTCAATACTCAAAGCAGTCTTAGGGAAGACTGTTTTATAGCAATGGTCTTAGAGGAATGACTTTAATAAGACCGTCTAAGTGATAAAGCCGGCTTTATTCAAAGAGTTCAGACTACCAGTTCAGACCGTTTTATAGCAATCTGCCCCAGGAGTGCCTACAGTATGTTGCCTCAATCACACAATTTACACTTGCTCACCAGTTGATGTTAGAAGAGTTGAGTAACATCATCATCATTAGTATTAACATACCCCAATATCACAGCACCAACATTACATTTACCTTACCTTTCTAAGCGTGGCTTCCACTTCCTGGTAAGCAGTGTAGCGCCGAGTAAGCGCCTTCTCATTGACACGTAGCACCGTCATTTTACGACTCATATCTGCTAAGCGTCGTTGCTGCTCATTACCATCTTGCTGAAGAGTGTCGAGGAGCCGCTGCAAAAGTCAAGGGTCAGGATTATGAAGACCGATAGAACTGAAGAAAGAATAAAAACGCTAAAATTTCTGAACTAATTATTTCCAATAATCGAATTCTTACGTTATATTCTCTAATTCTGACTGAATCCTCGGATTGTTGGTCTTGCCATTTCTTCTTCTCATCTCTCCATTTTTCTCGCTCTCCTTCCCATTCTTTCTTTTCCTTGGCATAATCGTCGTAGATCAGTCCCTGTTGATGCCTCATCACTGCAAACTTTCGTTTGTACACCTCTATAGACCCCTCAAACTTTTCAAGTAGTTCCTCTTTATTACCAAGCTCCTGTAAAGTAAAATGTTTATTAAAGACCATTAATTAAAAAAGCTTTCATATTGTCTTTGATTGTAAAAGATGCTATATAAATATTCAAATTTAATAAAAAATTAACATTTTTAATATTATTACATGGATTTTAATATTTTCAATTATCAAAGACAGAAATCAGGGGGATCATAGCTGTAATAAGATCTATTTTTATTTTTCCCCATGTAGCCCATTTATCTAAAGTATCACATTCTTACCAAGACAATTTAAGTACAGAGAATTTAAAAAAAGGGGAGAGGGACAGAATAGAGGAGGGCCTTAATTTATGAATGGATTATAATCAGGAAATTAGTAGTTATTACAGTCAGAAGCAGGAATAATTTTATCCCAATGCCCTGCATCCTTTTCTCCCCCAAAACTTTTCGCTACATACCACCTGCTCATACCGAACCAGATATGCAACATCCGTGCCTTGGATATTGTTACCAAGGCCCCACAAAAAGATACACAACACGACATGTGCTTTTAAGAGATATGTTTGTCTGTGGGACAAGCACATAAATTCCTGGCCCTGTTCCGATTGATCAGCTGATAAATCAGATTGACCCTTCCGGAAAAGTCTATTGATCTACATATACATCCCATATTTATACCTGCATGGCTTGGATAAGTTGCTCGTTAAGGGAGCCAATGACATCAGCACTAGTAACGGCCATTGAAGCAGGAAGAGGCATCTGTTGTACTGTTACAGCTCCCTTACCAACTTCACGTAGCATCTCCAGTTCAGATTCAAGTTTTAAAATCTGAAGGTCAAGATCAAAATTAGTGAATATACATAAAATTTTTTATTGATATACAAAAGTTGAGAGTATAGTAACATGTGCTTATGTATGGAAGGGGAGGGTGGTTCATCATAAATCTAGCATACTAATTTGTACCTAGTTAACTCTACTCTAATTATTAAATACATTATAGTTATTTTTTATGATTTTTTTTTTATTTAAAGGAAATGGGACTGTTGTTAATTAACTTACAATCAATCTAAAGGGAATTTTCTTTCTAATCCATTCTCTCTGCTTCATTTCTCTTACCTCATTTCTATTTTTTATTCTATTTAAAAGCTACTCAGTGTTGGATTCACAAAACAAAAAAGCATACATCACTTGCACATACCTTTGTAGTGGATCGCTCCGCATCAAGTCTAACCTTTTCATAATCTGTTCTAGCCTGACGAAGCTCTCTACGTAACTCCTCATTCCTTCCTGTTAGCTGGTCAACCTGAGCCTTTAAGTACACTTGGGCCTCGTATTTACCATCTACTGTCTTAGCCTCCATCATCTAATTAAAGTTGAATAAAATATTCATAGTACGATTGAAATAACACATGTATATAACTTCAGTGAAGTCTCTACTAAGACTGCTTTACAGCGGTGGTATTACATGGGTGGTTAATATCAAACATCTACAACCTGTTTCACATGAATCTTAAATCCAGTTAACTGATAGTCTAGTTAACTGGACTAATTTTGATGTGAACCATTTAATTATATCCAGATGAAGGTGTTAACTGAACTTAGTCCAGTAGTTTATCAGGTTAACTGCAAATCTAGAAATGGTCCAGCTGATAACAATCCAAATGAGACCCTTGTATTCAAGTTCAAAATAGACCAATCATATTCTACCATGTTTGTCACATCACTCACAACTAATCTTAACCTAGTTAACTTGATAAAATCAGTGTGAACACATACTCTAGATTACTATATCATATTTCCAAAATATAGTAATCTAGATAAGTGGGCATAAGCTTGATGTAAATCAGGTTTATATGATGTAACTGAGCAGCTTAAAATAGCTGCAGAGGAAACAAAGTTTCACAGTTTACAACTGCTATCCAGACCTAATTAAATCAATCACTCACGGCTAGCACTTTCTCAAGGGTTGGGACATGCATGTAGGCATCTCGACCACCTGGTTTGGTACTGCTCTCCTTTAGGGACTCTAAGATCTCTTTCATTGCTCGGCCTAGCTTATCGTTTTCTTCTGTCAAATCTTTATTCTTCTCCTCCAGTTCAGCTGCTTTTGTTCTGTATTTATCCGATAGTTTGTCAGCCTTTTCTAATTCTTTCTCCATTTGTACAGCCTGTAGATTACAATATACTATGTTATGGGTATGTGAAATAAAAATGTTCAATACACTTTTGTTAAAGTTTCTTTTATGAAGATGAAGATTTGTTAGGTTTTTTAAAAAAAACTAAATTTATAGAGGGTGACCCTTCCAGCGTATCCTAGGTCAGCTGATATTCAGGAGCCCTCTTAAATGAAATAATGCGATGCTTTTAGTGTTGAGAAAAAGTCCTGCTGTTTTCAGGAATTGAACCCAGGATCCTGGGATTTGAAGGCAAGCATCTTAACCACTAAGCTCCTAATGATGTTGAATATATACAGTAGATAAAAAAGATGATGATCTTGATGATAATGATAATCATGATGAAGTTAATGTTGACAATTATAATGTTAGCAATGATAATGATGAATAAAATGTTATTAATAATGATATGAAAAAGATAACACTGACGATGATAATGACAAATAAAAAATGTAAATATTGATGAATGAAAGTAATGTTGAACACAACGTTTTTGATAATACTGAAGTAAAGAAGATGACAATGGTGATGATTCAATTACATACAGTATCATACCACAGGCCAAAGACATTTATCTAGCTGAGCCTTTCGTTTATAATTCTGATATATCTTAAATTAATCTTACTTTAATTTTCATTGTGTCGGAAGGTTCTTCAGACTTAGCACCACTCATAAACTTGGTGACCGTGTCAGATAACTTAGTCTTGCGTCCGTGCTTAAGATCTTCAGTAAACTCGTCAATCGCGACCATCTCATCTGCTGTTAACCCAAGTGCAACAGCTCTGGAGAAAATAAGTAGAGTAGATAGATTCCAATGTGCAAGTACAATTGCACCATTTTTCAATACTATTAATTTTCCCCCCATGTTTGCTTCTTTTTCATTTTAGGATTATTTTATGCGCAAGGGCAACAACACTTGCACTCAACTGAATTACATGCTATTTGGCTATACAAAATTATACAATACTAAACAAAGAATTACAGTAGACAAACCAGATTGATGGCTGGTGTAAACACTCAGGCCTATATCCCGGAGGCAACAAAATAGTCAACTACAATGCCCAATCATGTTTCTGAGAATAGGCTTGCCATTGTATGCAATTCAAGGACCAGGAGTGATACCAATTTTGATTATTATTGGTTTGAAATTGGCACCACATAACTATTACAAAAACAGGGTGAAAATGATCGTCTTTCCTATAATAATGGGATTCTTTCTGTCTCCATATACCTTTGCCCTCTTTGTGCAGCCAGTATGCGAATTTGCTTTTTGAGATTGAGTCGTTCTTCTTCCAAACGTTCCACTTCTTTCATCAAGACCTGGTTCATGGCACGGTCTTGCTGTTGTACAACAGCTCGGTTTTTACGGAAATCAGAAAGATCCACTGGCTCTTTGGGATCCAATCCGAGCCTCTCTCGCAAATCCTCGTTCTCCTCCATCTGGTCATTCATTTGCATCTCCAATTTGTTTGTATGCTGAGTTAACTCCTCTATGTTTCTGAAATAACGTTGCTCGAATAATAATTATTTCATACAGTTACATTTAAACGTTCCACCAATACATAGCTTTTGTGCATTCTATTAAAAAAATTTGAAAATTTTCACTTTCACTAATTTTCTTAAACATAAGCTCACATTAGCAGGCACCGTTATTTAGATGTAGGTGTATGCGCTAACTCACATCAGCCAGTTACAGGATAAAGAACACACAATATTTACATTTAAACAAGCATAAAATTCATTGTTATTATTCAACCTTTTGGTGGGCTTTATGAGTTGTTTCATATAGAGAGCAATATTGTGTTGTCTTCACAATTGTTTTAATATAACTTGCTATGCGAAATATATGACATCATCAGTGATCCTGATAATGTTTTAATTATTTTATAAAATCTACAACTTTTAAAGCTTTTATTACCCAATTTTTTATCTTTTTATATGTAAATTGTTGCCTTTTGTTAATCTTGCCGTTGATTACTGTTTTTTATTGATTCGTACTTGCCTTTTAAAGTAATTTAGAAATTTTATTGATTGTTTACTATTTAAAATGCTCTTATGAAAATGTTTAATGTTGATTTTTTATATTTTCACCTGTTTAAATGTGATTATTGTGGACCCCATTGGAAACCAACTTAGTTATATTTTATTGGGTTATCTAGGTTTTTCTCTTATTGTATCTTGTATATATAGTGTTTTTATTTGCTTAAAATGACTTTGTTTTTTACAATGTTTTTATGTATTGTATACAGAAAGAAATCAAATAAATTCAGTTCAATCCATAAGCAACAGAGCACTATTCAAACCATTCAAATTGACCAATCAATGATTCGCAGCAACCCAGGACAATAACAATCATCAACCTGAAGGTAATAAAAACCACAATGAAAATCACTGCAGCACACATAGAGAAGTGTGCTTACCTGTCTCTAACTGATATCTGTCGTTTACATTCCTTGATCTCCTGCACTGCCTCTGCAAGACCATATTCTCCCTTCATAAAAATAATAAACAAGACAAGGCTAATATTTATATTTGTGACTAAATTACCAATTAGTGTCAAGTCATGCGAAATGTAATCTGATTAAAAGTGCCAATTTTTTTTATAAATCAAAAACACAAAAGACAAATGGACAATCTCACAGATTCATATTCTCGCATTCGTGCAAGAGCCTCGTTAAGCTGTTGATCTTTTTCACGAGCATCTTGTTCAGCATGGCGTGTCCGGTCATCCGCTGATTTAACCTCATCTTCTTGGGTACGCAGCGTGTCACGCATCTGACGGATAGTATTTTGTTGGCGGATTGATGGAGCTAATAGAAAAAAAATATATATATATTGATGAAGTGCCTTGATCAAGGACATAAGCAAAACAGACAAAGGATTTGAACCCATTGCCTTAATGATGAGGGCACAAACCACAACCACTGCGCCAAGATCTCTACATGTCTGTATTTTAGCAACTTCTCAAACTCTGACATACCTCCTCCTGCCTTTGCCTGATCCTTAAGATCCTCTAGTTCCTCTGTCACCCGATTGAACTCATCTGTATATACCTCCAGTTGGTCTCGCAAGTCTTTGATGACTTTGTTTTTCTCTTCCACTGCCTGAAAAATGATACAATCTTTTATTAATTACAATACATTTTGTAGTAAAATTAATATTGTTTGTTATAAAATGCATATTACAATTAGAAGACAGTATAAAATGTTTGCAAAGTTGACACAGATTTTACATTATGACATTACCTGCTGAAGCATGGTAATGCTAGACTTCTCAGTGTCTATCTGCGATGCCATGATCTGGTTCTTCTGTTCTTGAATTATTCTATTTAGTTCTGCAATCTCATCATCTTTTTGACCCAGTAAAACCTAACAATTAACAGAAAAAGCCATGATAATATTCAATAATTTTTGTGTTAAAATATCCTACAACAGTACATAAAATATGCTATAAATATAATGAGCAATGCTACTCTCCGTTTAGCATTTCAGTAAATACTTCATTTTATTGTACAAGAAAATGAATTCGCTCCACAATTTATAAGCGGTCATTGGTGATGGAACACACACTCAGCTCCCTGAGGAAGTGCCCCAAAATGTTGCAGCTATAAATCAGTATACTGTATTCTTGGGTAGACCGAAGCACAATGAATAAAGTTGGACACATATTTGTCCTCTGATTTGAACCAATGATATTTCAATTAGAGGCCAAATGCCTTTATCACTATACCACATTCTATTTACATTCTGTTTAGTAATGTTAAAGACATTTTAAATAAATTATCAATGTATGATGAAATACATGAGTGGATCTTAAACTATGTCAGACAGAGATGACAAATACTGGCAGACTTCAAATTTGTCCCATTTACCTTCCATTCCTCAACTTTCCGGTTGACTGCTTCCATTACCTCATCATCACCACTGGACTGGTGCTGCATCTGGGTAGACAAGTCCTGAATCTGCAAAAAAATAATCGGGAAAGTTTTGTTTTCTAGATGCCCGAAAATAACCTCTGAGGGACTTTGAGAGATCAATAATTTATTTTTCTTTCTATCTTTCTTTTTACTTGATTTTTACTTTCCAACCTAAATCTGTCCCTGGATATTGTACATATGTCAGGTGCAATTAAACATTTATGGATGTCTAATCAAATTGAGGATCTTCTACAACTCTAGATCTCTTTCTTTCATTTTATTTTTTCTATTTGTTATTTGTATAAATCCATTTTTAACCTGTTTGGGAACCGACAGAGATCACATATGTTGAGCAGCTTGAAAACATACAAAATCTGCGACAAGAATTGCCTTTGTTCATGGAGGGGGGAAGTTAGAAGACCGTCCTTCCTATAAAGATCATCTCAAGCTGTTTAAATTATGTCCTTTGGATGTCAGGAGGAGGGTGTCTAGGGTTTGATATGCTGTTTGGTATTATTTTGGGAATTCCCAGCTTCTATGGATATTCCATCAGTGATGAGTTCCCACCATAATGACAAGTTATACAGACAATTAACTACCTGTTGAAAAAAAATTGCAGTTTCTTAACAGTATGTGCAAGTTTGTAGACCAAGAACATTTTTAACCTTTTACCTCTTTTCTCAGAATATCATTCTCTCTGCGGATGTTCTCTGTGACCGTGTCAGACTGCTGGAGAACCAGCTTGAGCTTGGCATAGTCTTCCGTCATGGTTTCCATCTCTTCAACGGCATCGCTCAACTTCTTGGACATGTCCAGCACCTGAGCTTGTAGCTTCTCATTAGCATCTGTTAAATTCTAAACAAAACAAAATCAAAGCATGATAGAATTAAAAACCGTGAAACAAAAACGAGCGGTTAAACGCTAGAAAGTTAAAGCTCACACAAAGCCAGGCTAATCATGGGCGCTAGCGCAAACAAATCATGAGGCTCTGTCTGCAGAAACTACGAAGCATACAGAATGCTAGCAGATACTTCTAATCATAAAATGGGTAATCGTTTTAGCTCATCTATATCGCTCTACAGCGAGAAGGAAAAGAGGATATTGTTTATTCACACAGGGCGCATAATGTATATGTGAGCATGAATAGACTCTAGCAACACACAATCAAAGTTTGATAAAAAAAAAAAACAACCAAAATAATGTAAATAGAGCTTAGCAAGAATGTGGAATTTGAGCTACAAAAGATCAATTAAAAGTCTAAATTTATATAATAGGCCTACTGTAACATGTCTTCAAGCAAAGTATTTAAGGGCGTCTCTTGTGAATGCACATGGTTACTCCACTGATACCAGAAATCACAAAAATATTTTTTTTTTATATTTAACACAATCAATATATATTTAATCTATCTGTATTAATATATTCCTAAATGTCAAAAACATAATCAAGTATATAAACAAACATAATGGCCATTTCATTACTAAATTCTCAAAAGGCTTCTAATGTTCATTTCTATGTTTGTATTGTGATGCTAATTAATACTTTATTTTTTATATTTTCACATATGTGCAATTTGGTTGTGTAATATTTCATTGACATTTAAACCTATAGTTGTTTATATTCATATGCTACGTCACTAATTGGGCATGAGGCCACAAATTGTATAAATGTTTATTTTAAAAATATGATAAATATGTTATAAACAACAATACACTGTATCTCACCCCTATCTCCTCCAACTGCTCGTTAAGTTCACTGTTCTTTTTTCTCATTTTTTCCTGTGCTTCAAAGTCGTCGCCACGCTTCATAATTAAGCTCTCGCGTTGCGATTCAAGCTGCCTTTGATAATCTCGAAGGTCATGTTTTAACGCATCATTCTAGATGAAAATGAGATTTAAGTAGAGACTCGTGTAAAAAATATTCTACAAATCAAGTAATTAATTTCAATTCAATTCATTACTCTTATTCCTGAAAATTTTCCAATTCATATCCACTTTATTTGTCATATAATATATTACATAACATATATATACAGTAGAACCTTGATTTTACATAAGGTACAGGACTGGAGGGCGTACGTAATTCGGGGGAATCGTAAAATTGAGGTTGGGTTAAATTTGTGGTGACCTTTGACCAAATACGTACATAACACTCATTAAATGTATGTTATGAACGAATAAATGATGTTACCTAGGCTAGACCTAGCCTCTAGGCCTACGAAGAAAACTATGTGTTTAGTGTTTTTATTCATTACTTTACGATGGCACAATAAAGTGATCAAATGTAACCATGTGTCTAGTGCATTAATTCATCACTTTATTTTTTTTATTTCACTAAAGAACATGAAAATATTGTAAGATTACCTATACGACAAAGGTATAACTTGGGAATTCCCCTTCATGGCTATTCTAAACAACAGATCTATGGTGTTGTCTGGGTCTGCTGAGACAAACTAAAACCATGTGCACTGCACTGGGCGTGCCAACCGATTAGCGTTCGTGTACGTGAAACAGCAACCACGTGCACTGCACTGGGCAAGCCAACCAATTAGCGTTCGTGTACGTAATTATGCCTACTCAGCTTTGTGTAGAAAATTTGATCAGACGAATTTTCCACACGAAGCTAAGGAGGAAAGCAATTATTTTGAGCACCATCAAAAGTTGTTCATCTCGTTCAGTTTACATTGTTTTAGATTATAACAACTCGGTATTACTATTAGACTCAATCAGTGTTGCTGTTTAATGAAAATACGTTGCATATGGTTTGTTTATTGTTATAGTATTGAAATAATAAGCAGACAGAAAGTAAAAAATCTCTTTTTACTTATGGTTGCTCTGAAAAAGGTAGTTTGTTTTGAATATTTTCGGGGGTTTTGATAACGTCATCGTCGATGCGAGGCTTTGTTTTGAATATTTTCGGGGGTTTTGATGACGTCATCGTCGATGCGAGGCGTATGTAAAACCGAGGGTTTGTATAACTGGGGTACGTAAAAATGAGGGTTCTACTGTATATATATATATATATATATATATATATATATATGTACTCTCCAAATACGTATGGAAATTAAAAGATAGCAACACACCCTACAACATTAAATGGTCTATCATTGACAGAGCATCGGCTTACTCCCCAAAAACAAAAAATATATTCAGACAAACAGTCAATACTAAACAAAAGAACCGAGCTATTGTCTAAATGCAGGCACAGCAACAAATACCTACTTAAAAACAATTAACTCATTTGCATTTTCACCTGTCTTAGCATTCATATACTTGCACAATCCTTGTATTCTCTCACTCCTGAAGATTGCATTAGCATGAAACAATGTGTAGAGTGATACCCAGTTCTACAAGTTCTACATTTTCAATATATTCTGACCATCAATGAAAAAAAAATAAATCTCCAATGGGACATGAACCAGAGACCTTTTCGATGCACCGCGAATGTCAAACAACAAAACCATGGAAGCTTTGTGGTAAATCCAAGTACCATTAGTGATTGCAAGCTCTGCAGTCTTGCAACATGTTTGACGTCATATTGATATAGCACTAATACTCACATGGGTGGGTAGTCTAATATTCTATTCATAAACTAAAGATTAAATATAATGAACTTTGTATTTGCTATAAAAACGCATAACCATGCAGCACTATTATACTTACATCTTTCTTAAGTTCTCGTGCCTCTGTTTCTGCATCTGTTGCCCGTTGATTGAACTGAAATTTTCAATATGTAAGGATTAAATAAAGAGACACTTCACTTTTGCATAGATGCCACTTGCTATACTTTACCTCCTAAATTTCATAAATAAAATGTGTATAATTTCTCCTAATGTGTACTTAACATTTTCAACGTAAAAAACATTAATGCAAGATTATTTCTTGAATTATGGTAGTAATAAAAATAATGTATTAAATTCTCCATTTTTGTGCATTGGGCAGTAATTTGATTGCAATTAATAATTAAGGTTATTGATATTAAATTAGCTAATTCTTTATTCTTAACCAACAGTGTAAAACACCAATAATAGGTTGAAATAAAATTTTCAGTAAACAGAGCACAAATATATACAATACAAATTAAAAAACAAGTTCATTATAATACTTTTAAATTGCGAGTAATTACAATTAAAAATATCCAAAAAATTTTTATAATCATTATAAGCTGACGAAATTCTACGGAAAATACCATTTTTACAAACATTTACACGAGAATATTTAACATGAAGAAAAGGTTTATAACGAAGATTACGAACAGGTACATTAAAATGAAACATAGATACAAGATTACATTTAAACTTAGAGTTAAGACATTTGTACAAAAAGTATAAATTCTGTCTTGCTCTCCTAGACGTCGGAGAAATGATAGGCCAATTGGCTGCTGGGCCGATGAAGCGCAAGAATTTTCTATGGATTCGATCTATTCTGGAGACTTGGGAAGCAGAGAGAGAGTTATATATAACTGAACAAAAATCGAGTGATGGTTGGATAAGAGATAAGTAAAGTGCACTTTTTGTGTGTGGGGAGAACTGAATGCAATTGCGCCACATTAGCCCAAGTAATCGATTGGCCTTTTAACAATGTGGTCAACATGTGAAATAAATGTCAGTTTACGGTCAATAAAAATGCCGAGGTCACGATAGGAACTGTCTCTTATACACATCTAGATGTGTATAAGAGCCAGGTTACGAGAAGTCTGTGGTCTGAATAGAAATATGAGTTTTTAACCCTCACATCTTTAACAATAACTCATTTGCATTTTCACCTGTCTTAGCATTCATATACTTGCACAATCCTTGTATTCTCTCACTCCTGAAGATTGCATTAGCATGAAACAATGTGTAGAGTGATACCCAGTTCTACAAGTTCTACATTTTCAATATATTCTGACCATCAATGAAAAAAAAATAAATCTCCAATGGGACATGAACCAGAGACCTTTTCGATGCACCGCGAATGTCAAACAACAAAACCATGGAAGCTTTGTGGTAAATCCAAGTACCATTAGTGATTGCAAGCTCTGCAGTCTTGCAACATGTTTGACGTCATATTGATATAGCACTAATACTCACATGGGTGGGTAGTCTAATATTCTATTCATAAACTAAAGATTAAATATAACGAACGTTGTATTTTGTGTTATAAAAACGCATAACCATGCAGCACTATTATACTTACATCTTTCTTAAGTTCTCGTGCCTCTGTTTCTGCATCTGTTGCCCGTAGATTGAACTGAAATTTTCAATATGTAAGGATTAAATAAAGAGACACTTGACTATTGCATAGATACCACTTGCTATATTTTATCTCCTAAATTTCATGAATAAATTTTGTAAAATGTGTATAATTTCTCTTAATGTGTACTTAACATTTTCAACGTAGAAAAACATTAATGCAAGATTATTTCTTGAATTATGGTAGTATTAAAAATAATGTATTAAATTCTCCATTTTTGTGCATTGGGCAGTAATTTGATTGCAATTAATAATTAATTAAGGTTATTGTTATTAAATTAGCTAATTATATTTCTTACCCGTTCAACCTCTTTCCGCTCTTTCTCTAACTCCCTCTCCTTGTCCCGGATCTCCCCCTGCATAAGATCAACCTGTCTGGTGAGTTCTTGTATCTCCGTCTGCAGCATGCGTACATCACGCGAACCCCCACCTGACTCCCCCATTCTCTGCAACATAAGATAGCATTCAAAAGTTGCTGCATTGTAATGAGTCTTTATACAATACATTTTCTAACAAACAACAAATTGTAATTAGGATTTCATTTATTTATTTATTACATTCTATTTTAGTAGGGTAGCCCTAGCCTCAGTGGAAGCACTGCTCTTCCGAGGGGCCCTACACCACATTAAAATATTACAATAAAAGAATTTTTGAATTTTGTTTTTTTTGTAAACCAAACGATAAACAAGCTCAATTGCGATGCTAATTCTTACATAACATTACCAGGTACAGTTTATTCAAAAAAATAGTATAATTATCAATTTATTAAAAAAACCTTGTAAAAATATTTTTGTTTAAATGCAATTGCTTAATACATTATCAACTTCTAATTTAAAGACATGGACCAAAATAAGTTTTCATTGATTCAAATTGATTGTAGATGTTTTACTACAATCCTTTTACATAATAGCAAATATGAAATGATGTTTACATGCCTGTTAATTGGTGCAGACAATTTTTTTCTTTCTAATTTGAAACTTAAGTAATAACATTAAATACACAATGTAGGCAAAAATTGACTATTGATTTATATTTTTCAAGCATTTTTTAAAAATATTTCAATCAGAATAAAATACTTAAAATGCAACAAAGGTTTAAGAACTTTTCCAAAGCCCAAACACCAATATAATGACCACAGCAAATATACAAAAATAAAAAGTATAGGAACATAAATCAAAAATAGAAGCAAGTTAATTAATAATCACAAAAATATATCACATTTTATTACTATTAATCAAAAATGACTGCTTCATTATTATTATCATTTATTTACTGTACAAAATTAAAACTCCATTAATAATATTTGTTGTCCACATATTAATCTTTTTATGAAATTAAAATATATTTTAATATTATTATGCTTTTCTACACATTCTTAGATAGTTAATAAAAATTCAGAAAATATCAGAATGCTTAAGTTTTATTTATTTTCCATACTAACAAAACATGTGTTACATTTAACAGAAAATCATTTTGGTATTAAGACTGCATCTCAAGGAAAAGATCATAAACTTATAGTTATTTACTCACTCTTAATCGTGTAACTTCATCTTCCAAGTCTCGGATCTGATCCGTTAAATCTTGTTCTGCGAACAATTTTTGTTACTTTATTAGTATAAATAATATACCAAAAAATTTGACAAATATTAAAAATCAACAACATTCATTCTGTATGAAAGTGCTTTTATGTTCTGAATTTTGTGTTTCATTATCCAAATAAATGTTAATGTTCTCCTTTTTGGAAGTCCATTGAAACAGAAATCAAATTGAAAGATATTATTTACATGTTTGATTTCAAAATTTAATGGGTTAAACAATGTACTGTGTAACCTACACAGCATATCTCCCTGCTGTGTCAAATAGATTAACTGCATTATACCCTATAGAACCTGTCATGTAAATATTCATAAATTTTCAATAAATACACTCACACAGAGATTGAATCAGCTAAAATACACAAATTAATGGCTTCACACTTGATAACTTGTGTTGATATCATAGGAGTGATTTTATGCCCTACCTGACATGTTATTGTACTGAATACTGTATAAGTTGTTATTTACGTGAGGGTTTAATTTTCGCGAATTTCACGAATGTAGCGCTTACCGCAAATTTCACCGCAAATTTCACCGCTCTCGAAAATGTCCACAAATTTCAAATTACAGGAAGTACTGTAAAAAACAAGCCGAATGAAAGGGGAAACCCTGTTATAGGTCTGTCCGCGAAAATAACAACATATACAGTACTCAGTGTGTTCCTAAATACTTGCGAAAAAATATTGCAAGTTATTCAGGTGGGAATCGAACCCATGACCTCCAAATAAATACCCTGGTGTCATAACCACTAGACCACCGAGCTTCTACTTGGGGATCGGATTCAACAATAGTCACTAAGCACAAGCTCAGTGGTCTAGTGTTTGACACCACGCTGATTATCTGGAGGTCATAGGTTTGATTACCACTCAAATCACCAAGTGAATTTTTTTCGCAAGTATTGGGAAAGTACTGAGCATTCAGTACGATAACACATCTGGTAGGGCAAAAAAATCCTATGATATTTTCCTGATGCACACACATCAAAATTGTGTTGATATTCTGGTTATTTTCAACTTTACTCTGTTTCAAACAAACCTTGTCATTAATTCAGACATATGAATTCAATGGGTATACAGTACCTTTCTTAGCTGATTCTTTGCCCTGGTCTTCAGCCATTTTATCCAGCTGGTCAAGGGCAACGTCAGCCTCTTCAGCCTTAAGTTTCATCACAGCTTTGGTTACTTCAAACAGCCTCAGCATCTTCTTACCATCCGTGTCTTTTCCTGGGGTATCAGCCTATAACAAAATATGCTTTATTATAAAATTAATAGCAAATCCAGTCTGTTAGATTTGATAAAGTAAAAATTAACACTAAAGAAATAAAGCTATAATTTGAGCTTTTCTGTTTTTAGTACATTTTGATGGTAAAAGATTAGATTAAAATAAAGTCATTAAGGCGTAATCAACGGTAACCAATGTCTGGCAGGTAACAGAGGGCGCCACCTGGCGTTGTGATGACACGACCGTGGTACTCTATATGGGTATAACGATGTCGTACAGTATTGCACCCAAATATGGGCATACCACATTTTCACATAAAACTTGATAGTGTGAACAGAGATTTAGATTGACTTCCTCTATTGTTTGTTAGTGTGGACAGAGATTTAGATTGATTTCCTCTATTGGTTGACAGTGTGGACAGAGATTTAGATTGATTTCCTTTACTGGTTGTTAGTGTGGACAGAGATTTAGATTGATTTCCTCTATTGGTTGATAGTGTGGACAGAGATTTAGATTGATTTCCTCTATTGGTTGACAGTGTGGACAGAGATTTAGATTGATTTCCTTTATTGGTTGTTAGTGTGGACAGAGATTTAGATTGATTTCCTCTATTGGTTGATAGTGTGGACAGAGATTTAGATTGATTTCCTCTATTGGTTGATAGTGTGGACAGAGATTTAGATTGATTTCCTCTATTGGTTGATTTGATCTGTAACGGAGCTGAGAAGCTTGGTGGGTATGTCATACAACGCAATTCTGTGTGAGTTAAACACAAACGCGATATGTCTGCATTGGAGACAGTGGCATGATAGAACTTTAAACATTTTTAATATTCTCATGAGAGAACTAAAGACTGCCCCTGACAATAAATCATGTCGAGTTGCTGTTGTATGACGCTGTCTGAGTTGGCCTAAGATGCTTGTTGTCATCAATTCCAGGATCCTGGTTTCCCGGATCTCGGTGTACTGGGTCATACAGCCCTGAAGAGACCCTTAGGGAGAAGAAAGTTACTGTAACTTTTTAAAATTTGAGGGTAAAGTCATATAGCTACAGTAAACAAAGAACTTAATTCATACAGTATATCAGATTGCCAGACTAACCTTTTCTAACATGGCATAGAGCTGGTCTCCTTCATCCTCATCTATTGCATCCAGGTCTACACCCATCACCTGTTCCCAATTTATGGGTGCCATGATGACTTGTTCTGCAGTCAACTAGGTGTTGCAATATATACTGTGAAAATACCAGTTGTGTGAGAATAAAAATTAGGGTAGGTAATTACAACTAGGTGAAACGTTTGATAGAAAACTTTATTCATACATTTTGAAAATAACCTGGGCGATTCCCATGAAAATTGATTAAAAAGAAATTAAGCCTAGTTCTATACCAAAGTGACTGTAAGATTAAGCCTTGACCTATCTCTCAATATACAACTAATGTATAAACAGTAAAACTACAATTTCACACACCTACATTCCTAGCATTTTTTTTATTATTTTCTTTAGTTTAACCAGTGTAATAACAAGTTACATACCTGCAGCATTGTGTGTTACGTTTACTGCATAGTCTATAAGACTGACGCTAGCCTTTACCTAGTCTATCTTTTCTCAAGCATTGAATCTTAATGCTGGTCGACACCGATATTGCAGTTATTGATACACCCTCATTCGGTAGGTGAATTTTCTTGGTCTTGAACTGGCACCCCCATTACTGATTATGATAGTCCTTGAATCAACAGGTTATCATAAAGGAGTGATAATTCATATGAACCAGTGTCCTGCTCATAACTTGTGTTGTTTTACGGATTCAAATGCTTTCCTTTACTTGTCTTTGGAAGACCTTGGATTCACTGTAAAGTATATTCATGAAGTCCCAATCTTGAACATGGTTGGAATGAATTAGTGGGGCTGATTTACTGTATGTGGTTCAATTGGTGTAGTATCTTGCTGTTCTGGTGTGGATACCTGGTATATGTTTTTTCACATCTACTTTATGTTCTTTTATTCTTGTTTTCAGTGGTTGACCGGTTTTTCCGATCTCACAATTTAGACACTGGACTTCATAAACAGTTCTGCACTTTTCCTCTTTAAGTTTATTATCGTTGGGATTGAGTAAAATTTCTTTTACCTTGTTTGATTTTATTAAGCAGTTGGTCCAAGACCAAGAAAACTTACCTACCAATTGAGGGCACATCGCACCCCCTATATATAGTGTTCTTAACTAGCATTAAGATGAATGCTTGAGAAAGCATTGCTGAAGTGCATGTGAAACGTTGCAGGTACATGTAACACGCATTTACACACAAACTTGAGTTGGTTTTCTAGACATCCTCTGCGCAAAAAATGTGGGTTATATAACATGAAATGAAAGTCACGATTCTGCATATCTATTTTGATAGATTTTATGCACAATTTTAATTGGAAGTGGTTACAATTCTGACATATCATAGTGACACACTTCCCAAACTATGGGTCACGACCCCAACTATTGTATGGATCGCCAAACTGTTGCGTTTGCAAGTTTACAAAAAATTATTAAAAAAAAGATTGTCAATTAATAATATATGCAAGCTCAGGACTAAAATAAGTTTTAAGTTTATCAAATATATTATTTAAAGTTTCAAAATGTTTTTGAAAAAAGCCGATCCTATATTTTCTGAGATCAGGTCAGTCAGGTTTGTGCATTATTAGAATGAAATACAGGAGAATTATTATTATTATTATTATTATTATTATTGATATTACTGCTGCTGCTATAAATAGCGTCATTTTTAACGTATTTAATCGTAGTAGGCCTACTACACTTTCATATTTATAATTAGTTTATTTTTTCACGTTTTTACCTTTACGACATAAATTGTTTAGCATCGTTTTAATCTTGCCGTTTTGACTTATTGCCGTTTTGGTCTATTGCCGTTCTGGTCAACAAGTGAGTGTTGCTGTTTTGGTTTTTGCCGTTTTGACTTTGCAGTTTTGGTTTATTGCCCTTTTGTCCAGAAACAAGGATAGGCCTTGGGCATTACCTTCAAGTTCTAGCCTAGGGCCAAGCCTAGCTAGATTCCCTGTGCAGGCCTTACTTTCCTGCCATGTATAGGGAATAATGGATACTGTAGCACCAAGGCAATAGATTAACCACACACACACACGTACATCATGCACAGCTTTGCACCTACTTGGCGTTCCATACAAATATTTCCCGGCCGAACTTGTTTACGGCCGAACGGGTCCTACACCTGTACAGGTAGGCCTAGGCCTGGCTAGGCCTAGCCAAGGCTAGAGTAGGGGCAAAATGTAGGATTCAGCTGGCTTCATTATTAACCTCCTAGCATATCCTACTATCAGGACTAAAGGATTCATCATTTAGGGAATAAACACTACTAGGCCCCTAGGTTTATAGTAATTTGAAAAACATAGGCCTAGGCCAAAAGCTAGGCCTAGCCTAGGCCTGCAGAGGCCAGGCTGCGTAGGGCCTAGGCCGTATAACACTTCCCCAATGGACCACGGGTATTCTCCTGACAGAATCACTGGCCTAAAAAATAGAGATTTCCAGGTCGCCGGACCTACCCTAGATTCTGTAAATGTAAATACTAACCTACTACTACTATTATGCAACAACTTTATTATCATTATCCATAAGTAATTCGACTCGGGATTCGGCTACGACAAGCAAGATCATTCATTCAAAAAATCCTGATACAAAAAAATTAGCTTTGGTCCGGTTGTTCATAGAAATCGGTTATTTGTTTGTATGAAAAGCGTCGTCAAACAAGAGAGGTTTCAAAGAAATGAATACATACATCAATCTATAAACAGGTCTCCCTCCAATTAAAACCACTTTCAGGACCGGGGTTTCCATGGTCTTTATAGTATCTTTGGTCCCTCATTAAAATAATAAAGATAAAATAAATTTGTTAATTTAGCACAACAGAATAGTGGTTTTTAATTGAAGATGGTCCTGAATTGGAGGGGTCTTTCTTTGGAGGGAAACCAGGTCTATTTGGATTTTTAATACAAGGGTGTCAAGTCTCCCGTTACTCGCGGGAGTCTGCAAGAAATCGAGACGGTCTCCCACACTCCCGCTAGCCCCGCAAGCAAGCAATAATAATAATAATAATAATAATAATAATTAGCACTAAAACAATAAAATAGTAATTTATTGTAATGAAATAAAACACTAATATTATAATAGTAATAATAATAATAATAATGATAATAATAATGATAATGATAATGATAATGATAATGATAATAATAATAATAATAATAATAATAATAATAATAACAATAATAATAATAATAATAATAATAATAATAATAATAATAATAATAATAATAATAATAATAATAATAATTAGAAACACCTCCAGTGTTGATATCATTTTGATTGCAGCGTTTAATTCCATCATATACTATTGCTGTCACTTGGATGTACATGACACTTTAGACAATCAAATGTTTTCATTGAAGCACACTGGATTACGCAATACGCAGTCCTCCTCCAATCAAATCATTTGTCGTAGTTACAAACATTTTATAAGACCTCTTTTTTATGTGAACTCATCTCACACATTGTCGTAAGCGGGCTCAGTTTGGCGTTATCTGCATCATTTTGAAAAACAGAAGAGGAAAATGAAGTCCATAATATTAATTCTGTCTCTTATACACATCTATAATAATAACAATAAACTTACAGATAGTCATATTCAAATTTAAGTCTGGGAGTGCCCCGGCCATCTAGAGGTGCATAACCATAAATGTTCTTACCTCAGCTCCAGCCGTGATAGGGGCTGAGGTAGTATAGACCGTACATATGTGAAAGGCCCTCCCTGCCCCTCCCCCACCCCCATTGCGAATTCTCGGATCCGTCACTGCAGATCTCAAGGACAAGGGTGGCGCCGAGGGCGTCTGAGGTCCCCGACGAGAGGCACACTTCTATACCATTTTTTTTTTCTGGTTGCAAAAGTAAAACTATCAAAGAGGTGGCATGAGACAATAAAATTAAGTCAGCTGTCGATAAATACGTTTTAATTTAATTCTCATATTCACTCTCACTTATTTTGAAACACAAATTATTTGAAACTATTAGTAAACACGTTAAACTTTTTACAAAGTTCAATATATTTTGAACAACACTCATACGCATGAGAACGGGTGAATGGAAATAGATTTTATAAAAAGTATTGTTTTACGTAAAAGTTTACGTCATAACTAAAGGTTAAATATGAGCCTCACTAATTTGTTCCAGATTAATAAAGCTTTTGAAAGTTATCCTCACTAGTGAATATTGTGGGTGACGTGTACTGCCGCCTATACTAAAATAGATGCGAGTAAACCAAATTTATTAAACTTTTTAGCTCTTGTGTGTTAATGAGCTCACATTTTTTTTCGTGCTTTTTGAAATAAATTTCTGAATGAACTATTATTATTTTACCCAGTTGTATTTACTGTGATTTAAAAAAAAAAGTGTTTCCCTTACTAGGAATTGATGGTTAATTGGTTAATTACCATTTTGGCCGCACCCTCATAAGTTGTTTAGTATACGGTACCTAAAGTGGTATCCTCTTAATAGGGGTTGGTCGTAGTGTAAAAACACATACACTCTTCTCGTTTTGAGGAAAAGTTCCTTATTCAATCACCTGAACCCTGAATAGGAAGGAAGGTTTAATATAGGCCTATATACTGTAATTGATGTCAGTGAACTTTTCGAGACTCAATATTCATTTGGTCAACTATACGGTACTATCACACGCGTTAAATGATGAATATTTGAGTCCCTTGAAAATACCAGTGAAAAGATGATGAATCACTGCCAGTGGGGTATCTAGGGGGTGCGGGGCCCAGTCGCTTCCCCCCCCCCCCACCAAATCATGGTCAAGTAGTTAAAAATCATCTAAAAACACCTTATTTTGCGAATAAGCGTCCCTAAACTGATCACTTATACACATCT